AACCGTTCCGGAGCGCCTTTGTCGAGGACGTAGCCCTGAACAAAAGCCTCCGCAACGGCCGCTGCGGACTGGTTGGCGAGGGGCCAAGCCATAGGCCATCGCGTGAAATATTCCACGCCAACCAGCAGGTACTTATTACCCCTCGGCGTGGAAGGAAACGGTCCCAAAATATCAAGGGCGACCAGCTCGTTAACCCGGGTGACCGAAATGGACTGGAGCGGTGGACTGGCTCCCTTCGCCGGCGGCTTCCGTTGTGCACACTGGGTACAGGACCGCAGCAGATCGTCCACGTCTCTTGCCATGCCCGGCCAAAAGTAATTAAGCTGGAGCATGGCAAGTGTTTTGAGGGTACCCAGGTGCAGGAGCCGTTCATGAGCAGCCCATACAGCCCTACCCCTCAACGTGGAAGGCACCACCAGCCTGTGACGGCGGATCGTCCCGTCCCAATGCATGAGTAAGCCCTGGCACCACCCCCATGAGTCAACGCCCGACTTCCCTTGACCTGATCCTTCCGCGCGACGTCGTAGCGCCAGGAGGGTCGCATCCTCCATTTGGAGGCGACCCCACTCAGTACTTGACAAGCCAAGTAGGGAATCACTCCCACCCTCCGAAATAGGACCAGCGTCCGAAGGAGTATCAACTGCGGCCGCAAGAACCCGATCCCGGCCGTCACTTGCCGATTTGCAACGGCCCGAACCCAAGAAACAAGTGCAATCCGGGGCGATCGGCAGGCGTGATAGGGCATCGGCGTTGGTGTGGCGAATCCCCTTCCGGTAAGTTGTCTCAAAATCGAAATCCTGCATGATCTCGAGCCATCGGGACAACTGCCCCGATGGCTGGTTAATTCGTAGGGCATACTGCAACGCTGCATGATCTGTACGGACGGTGAAATGCCGGCCGTACAGATATGGCCGGTACTGTTGGATAAAGAACACGATAGCCAACAGTTCGCGGCGGGTGACGCAGTACCGCTGCTCGGCCGGGGACAGTACTCTACTACCATAAGCCACAACGCGCTCCACGCCACCCACAATTTGTGACAGCACGCCTCCAATCCCGGTATTGCTTGCGTCCGTGTCGAGCACGAACGGCATGGAAAAATCGGGGTAGCTTAACGGCGGGGCCCCCACCAGGGCATCCCGAAGAGAGACAAAAGCGGCGTTCTCCACCGGCCCCCAATGAAATTTGACCCCTTTTGACGTCAAGGCATGTAGTGGCTTAGCGATGGAAGCAAAGTCCGCAACAAACCGGCGGTAATATGAAGCAAAGCCGATGAAGCTTCTAACCTCCCCCACCGAGGTGGGAATAGGCCAGGAGCTGACACAACGCGTTTTGGCGGGATCGGTTGAGATACCTGACCGGCCGACGATGTGACCCAAATATTTAACAGATTCGCGCAGCAAATGGCACTTTTGTGGCTTGAATTTCAAATTAGCAGCGCGCATTTTGAGAAAGACGGCCCGAAGCCTATCAAGGTGTTCCTCGAACGTCTTACTGAATACGATAACGTCATCCAGGTAAATCAAACACACCTCCCATTGCAAGCCAGCGAGGACCAATTCCATCAGGCGCTGGAACGTCGCGGGAGCAGAGTGTAATCCCATGGGTAAGCGATTGAATTGGAAGAGGCCGTGCGGCGTTCGGAAAGCTGTTTTGGGCCTGGATTCGTCGTCCAAGGGAAGTTGCCAAAATCCTGAGAGCAAATCCAAAGTGGAAAAGAATCGCGATCCCGCGAGGGCATCCAGCGATTCGTCCATTCGAGGAAGCGGATAAGCATCGGCCACCGAGATCTTATTTAATCGCCGGAAATCAACGCAGAACCTTAGGGACCCGTCGTGCTTTTTGACCAACACTATGGGTGCACCCCAAGGGCTGGTCGAGGGAGAAATGATGTCCGATTTCAACATGTCATCTACAGCCGATTTGACATGATCCTTTTCGGCGGGACTTAACCGAAAAGGATTTTGGCGGATAGGAGCGTTGTCACCGGTGTCAATATGGTGGCGTAGCAATTGGTACATCCGATATCGTATTTGTGTTTACTGAAGACGTCGGAAAATTCTCGCAATAAGGCGCGTAATCTAGCACGTTGTGCGTCAGACAGGTCAGGTGACTCAGCACACAACGCATCCAGCCAAACCTCGTCAGCGTCTGAGGCTAATCGCGTTTGAGAATCGGTGGCCACCTGGCCAATGATCGGCGTTTCCGCAGGTACCGGAACCGCATGTGCGAACACGGTACCTTGCGAAACCACTGCCGTCCGTGTCCCGACATTGAGGACCGCGATAAACGGGTCCCCATCCCCTTTAACAATAGTCTGGGCCGTCACCAGATCTGGCCCACTCACCCCGGCTCTAGATGGTCCCAAAATAACGCCCCGGTCAGAGACTCCTTTATCGAACGGTCGACGCAAGCGCAGGGGTACCAACATCTGTGCCCCCGGGGGTACACGCACCGTCCGAGCAACAAGCGCCTGTACCGTAGCACAGGCAACACGCACGGCAGGGGTGGCAGGTAGGAACGTCATACGTCGGCCCGATGGAAGCTCGATGCATTGCTGGTCAATCAGAATTTTGATGGGCAATTTGGCCAAAAAGTCTGTCCCCAACAGGCACGGAATAGCCAGCGAGGAGGAGACGAACACCGGGCCAGATAGTTTAATGTCCCCTATCGAAATTTGCGCTCGAATTTGACCGATAATACCCAACGAGCCCCCATTCGCAGCGTAAAACGGTATATCGACAGGGAGCAACGGGCGACTCTGAACGGGCAGGATATTATAAATCAAATCTGAAATGATAGTTGCCGAAGCTCCCGTATCGACCAATAGCCGTACCTCCACCCCGTCAATATGCCCCGCGACAACGGACGACCCCGCTGATGCAGCCACAACTCGGTGAGCCAACTCGGACCATTGGCCCGGTTGGAGCGCCCTCCCCGACATGCCGCGACCCGACGCACCAGCACCCAACCCCCGAGAATTGTGTATCGGACCATGTGATAGGAAAGTGGGTGTGTGTGCAGGCCGAACATGTGGGGTGCCATGACTTGCCCGAGGATGTTGCGAAGGCTTGTGAGGAGGGCCGTCCGCAGCTCCAGGTCTCGCACCGCGCTGTCGAGGAGCCCGGCATCCGGACGCCACGTGGCCCCGGAGGCCACAATTATAGCAGACGACGAGCGTTCCAGAGGACTTGGGCTGGTCTCGGTGGCTTGGAACGTCCCGAGCCGGTCGCTCGGCAGATCGCCATCCTGCAGAACGATCCGCAGCGAAGGCTCCCTCCATTCCAGAAGAGGTTGCCGCCACGGTGTGTCGTGCAGCAGCTTTGTTCGCCTTCCTCCGCTGGGAGATGAGATTGGCGTGAATGTGCCTTGCAGCCCGCAGTGATGACATATCCGCATCGTCCTGCGCTAAGATGGTGAAGTCCAGATCGTCAGCCAGCAGCAAAATTTTCTCGGCCACCATCGCATCGATCCCCTCTTCATCCATACGCGGGAAAGCGTCTTTCGCCAATGACAGCAGGGCCGTGCGATAAGCGAGTGGCGATTCCTTATCACCCTTCTGCCGTTCATAGAAGAGCTGGCGACAATCGGAGGGCGGCCCATAAACGGTGGCCAGCAGCTGCAGCGCCGACTGAATGGTGGAGCGTGCCGACTTGGGTGCAGCAGTGAGGGTGCCCAGGGCGTCGCCGTCCAATAACGCCGGGAGAGCACACAGCGCCTCGTTGTCCGACCAGCCTGCCATCTCTTGGTGGGCCAAGAACCGGCGCTGGAACCCCCCCCAATCGCCGTCGCTTGCAACAAATACCTGTAGGGCCGGCAGGCGTTGCTGGAATGTCGGCTCCGTCTCCGATCCTCTTGGAGCGTCTCTTGCAGCATCCGTAGCGCGTCCCCGTACTGTATGGTCGGTGCTGGCGTCAGCTGGTGGTGACGTTTCAACCCCTGATAGGCTGCCACCGCGACCCGCCTCCGCCGATGACGTGGCGGCTGCTGGCTGGGCACCGTCTCCCGCGTGACGAGCTGGGACTCCTCCCTCCGCCTCTACTGTCTTCGTGGCGGGATTTTCGAGTCGCCCCGCTGTTGTAAAGGCGGGAGTTTCTGGCGGGCGTTGTCCATCTTCCCGCCGCGTCGCTCCTCCCGGCCCCAGGCGAGTTATTTGTTCCAGCATAGCGGCCGCTGCATACAAGAGCTCCGCCAGCCGCGAGTGAGCCAACGCCAACTCGTCAGTCGACGTCCCGGCCCTCTCCGACGGCCCCGCCGATGTCGGAGCCGGCAGCAGTTGTGCAGGTACGTCGGCGGCGATGTCTTGCACTGCCCCTCCCTCGTCGTCATCCTCTCCTGGGTCTTGGGCACGAGTCTTCCGTCTCGTATCCATGCTTGGCCCACTTCCAACACCAGATGTAGTAAGTTGATGAGGAGACGATGAGGAAGTTGAGACACACTGTTTATTAACTCCGGGACAGATACAATAGTTGAAGGGGTATCGGCCCCTTCACCCGTACTATGGGAAACCCACCCTAGTACTAAGCCCTCTGTCCTGTCCCCCAGTCCTCCTCTACTGGGCTACGGGAGGCTGACTGATCTGGCCCTGGCAAGCACAGATCTCGGCACCAGCTAACCAGCCTTGCCCTGATAAGGGCAGCGGTCTGGAAGCTCTTGGGCCGCGCCACTGGCTTACCCGGCTCGGCCCTTATAAGGACGGCGAGACCGGGGAGTCCCAGGGCCTAATCTCCGAGTCTTGGATCTTCACTGGTCAGCTTCGTGTCGAACTGCCTCGAGCTCTTTGGGTTCCACCTTTTATAGGGATCGCCTCCGAGGGCTGGGGGCGTGGGCAATAACTGATGCGGACGTCGGTGTGACCCCCCGTGTATGTGAGTGCCGACAGCCCTGTGTTTGTTGTCCGCCGTTTCTCCCGTAATAACCCCTACAGTAGTGGTGATAGTGGTGCTGGTGGTGGTGGTAGTGGTGGGCTTGTTGGTGCTCGGGGCCGAGGCGGCGCTCGCCTGCAGGATGCGCGAGATGTCGCAGGGCCGCGCGCCGCTGTGCGCCAGCTCCACGATCTTCTGGCGCGTGGAGTCGGGGAGCGGCCGCCCGTTCACGAACACCCCGCCCAGCTGGTTCACGCCGCTGTGGCCTGGCGGGGGCACGGGGACACGGGGGCACGGGGGCATGGGGACACGCGGGCACGGGGACACGGAGGCACGGGGACACGGGGATAAGAGGAGACACGGAGACACGGGGGCACGGGACACGCGGACACGGAGACAAGGGGACACGGAGACACGGAGACACGGGGACACGGGGACACGCGGACACGGGGATAAGAGGAGACATGGGGACACGGGGACACGCGGGCACGGGGACACGGGGACACGGGGATAAGAGGAGACACGGGGACACGGGGATAAGAGGAGACACGGAGACACGGGGACACGGGGACACGGGGACACGGGGACACGGGGATAAGAGGAGACACGGGGACACGGGGACACGGGGGCACCATGGGGATATGAGACACCGGGATAGAAAACACGGGGACACGTGGACACGGGAATATGAGACACGGGGATAGGAGACAAAGGGATATGGAGACACGGAGATAAAAAGATGTGGACAAGGGGACACGGAGGAATGGGGACACGCACGGTAAGACACAAGCGGACGGAGAGATAAAAAGACGCAGATACAGAGAGACACGGACACACACGTAGAGACAGAAACATCCAGGCGGACACAGACACGTGTGGACACGGACAGACGGGGACACAGGGACACACGCAGAGGAAACGTTGGAACACACAGACACACACAGACACACACAGGCACACATCCGCCCATTGGAACAGAGAGGCACACGCGAACAAAGACACGCGCAGAGAGACACGCGCCGTGGCACACAGACACACAGATACACAGATACACACACAGAGACAGAGACACAGACACACACACAGACACACAGACACACACACAGACACAGAGACACAGACACACACACAGACACAGACACACAGACACAGACACACACACAGACACACAGCAAAGACACGTACATACAGATACACACACAGATACAGACACACAGACACAGAGACACAGAGACACAGATACAGAGACACAGACACACAGAAGCATCACAGGTCAGCGCATTGCATCCCAACACCATCACGAACATGATGCCCTTAGTTGACCGCACAAAGACAAAGGTCCCCCGTGTAGCATGTAACGGGCAAGTGCTCTTAGCGAGCACCTATTAAGCGAGTGTTGTTGTCAGCACCACGCCCGGCCGCCTTTGTCTCCCAAATGCTGATATTACTACGCCGCACAAGGTACTTAAGGCTGAGTCGACCTAGAGGGAGGGAACCACTGGATCGGTTCGGATATCGCTTTCCACGAGTCGAATTGAGGTCGCTGGGTTTGTGGCGTAGTGCGTCAACTATCGTGCCACCGCTCCCCGAACATACAAAGACAAAGATCCCCCATAGAGTCTTTAACAGACTGTTGGGGCAAGTGCTTTTAGCGAGCCCCTATTTAGGCTGGCACAAGCACACGAGGGGGTGGGTGGCCAGCACCACGCCCGGCCGCCTTTGTCTCCCCCAGTGACGATGTTTACACACCGCACCAGGTAGGCATTTGAGGCTGAGTCGAACTCGGGGATGCCCAGGATCGGTTCAGATAATTAATCGTCACCGACGTTGTCCGTAAGCGGGAATCGAACTCGGGTAGCTTTGGTTCGTAGTGCAGTGCGCTAACTGCTGCGCCACCGCTCCCCACACACACACGCACACATGCACGCGGGTTGCCACCTCTGAGCTACACGAATCGGGGACACGTCACGGGACGACGAATATCTCACAATAGCCGAAGAAGGGAAAACCCCATACAGGTAGTAGCACGACATTATGTTGAGTGGTGAAGTATGGTTATACTGGTAGGAACGAAGTGGACCAGACCACCAATAGATTAATGTGTCCGTCCGTCCGTCCGTCCGTCCGTGGGGAGGGGTGGTGTTGAGGGTGGTGTTGGAAATGAAAGACTACGAGTCTTTAAATCTCACAGCGTTTCTTGTCAAAACAAACACTTTTAATTAACGTTACACTAGAATACAGTCATTTTTTCTTTAACTCCTCTATACCTGGTCGATATCTCTGTACCGGTACTAAGTATTATTCCTACCAGCCTGTTTGTTACGCAACCTGCCCAACGAAATAATCGTGACTTTTTAAACGTCCCGGGAAGACTTCACAGACGAACAACAAGCGACGACAACAACAATATCAACAACATCAACAACAAATTGGGTCCTGGGGAAAACCGGGACAGGTGGCAACCGCAGCACAGACGCGCTTCCATCCCCCATTCACTCACAGCAGCAGCGGCAGCAGCAGCGGCAGCTTCTGTAGCTGTTGCCAACTGTTGCTATCCGAACAATTGATTTAGACGGGGGGGGGGGGGGGGGGGGGGTTGAATTCTCTATCGGTGGCTGCCCCCCCCCTGCACCCCCTGCCCCCCTATCACAAGCATGTGGTGGGGAAATCGCCACTGCGATCGGGGTAAGGTAAGGTCGTCTCTCACCTTGACGAAATTCTTCAAAAATTTCGTTTCGCCCGTTTGCTCCATTGCTGGCAATGAAGACGGCACCACGATTTCGCGAAAAATCTGACGGGAATTAAACAACCGCGTTTAAGATCGCGAAGACTGCAATGGCACAATTAGTCGTGACTCGGCGATTTCCCCACCTACCCCCCCCCCCCATCTCCCCCCTGCCCCCCCCCCCTCTCTCTCGCCATCCTTACCCCCCCACATCGTCTTGTGATGATCGCGGGAGATTTCGTGTCCGGATTATACCAAATTCACATTCTCACTGCCCCCACCCCGACCCCTCTATCTATTTACGGTGATGAAGAAACGATTGCATCTAAACGTCACCTATGACACGTATATATATGTCAAATGTGTGTGTTTATATATATATATTTTGCTATACATAAGGGACATACAGTGTTGCTGTTATTATCAGCGACGAACGTGTTTGCCAAATTTATCTTCATTATGTTGTGGTTTGCGTTGGACTCTCTGGGGGATCGCACGCTGTAGCGGAGGCACACGTTATAACGGAGGCACACGTTATAACGGAGGCACGCGTTATAACGGAGGCACGCGTTGTAACGGAGGCACGCGTTATAACGGAGGCACACGTTATAACGGAGGCACGCGTTATAACGGAGGCACGCGTTGTAACGGAGGCACGCGTTGTAACGGAGGCACGCGTTGTAACGGAGGCACACGTTATAACGGAGGCACACGTTATAACGGAGGCACGCGTTGTAACGGAGGCACGCGTTATAACGGAGGCACGCGTTGTAACGGAGGCACGCGTTGTAACGGAGGCACGCGTTGTAACGGAGGCACGTGTTGTAACGGAGGCGTGCGTTATAACGGAGGCACGCGTTGTAACGAAGGCACGCGTTGTAACGGAGGCACACGTTGTAACAGAGGCATGCGTTGTAACGGAGGCGTGCGTTATAACGGAGGCGCGTGTTGTAACGGAGGCACGCGTTGTAACGGAGGCGTGCGTTATAACGGAGGCACGCGTTATACCGGTGGCACGCATTATAACGGTGGCACGCATTATAACAGAGGCACACGTTATAACGGTGGCACGCGTTATAACGGTGGCACACGTTGCAACGGAGGCACACGTTATAACGGAGGCACGCGTTATAATAGAGGCACACGTTATAACGGAGGCAAGCGTTATAACGGAGGCACACGTTATAACGGTGGCACGCGTTATAACGGTGGCACACGTTGTAACGGAGGCACACGTCGTACGGAGGCACGCGTTGTAACGGAGGCACACGTTATAACGGAGGCACACGCCGTAACGGAGGCACACGTTATAATGGAGGCGTGCGTTGTAACGGAGGCACACGTTATAACGGAGGCACGCGTTGTAACGGAGGCACACGTCGTAACGGAGGCACACATTATAACGGACGCACACGTCGTAACGGAGGCACACGTTATAATGGAGGCACGCGTTGTAACGGAGGCACGCGTTTTAATGGAGGCACGCGTTGTAATGGTGGCATACATTATAACGGAGACACACATTGTAACGGAGGCACGCGTTATAACGGAGGCACGGCCATGTGGCTTTTTGTTGTTGTTGTTTAAATCTCCCGGTCAATAAATATATCGCCACGTGGTTTTAAAATCCCCGATACCCCTCCCCACGTGGTTTGCGGTGTGCTCGTCACAATGGGATTCCCACGACGAGTTTTCGATCGTTTGATTTTGCTCGTAACAAGTAAATCAAATGCTGTCGCTGCACGTTAATAAATAGATACTCGCGTGAGCACACATGCTGGTTCAGACTTCGCAGTGGAACGGATATCGTAAGCGATGTGGAGAGTGACAGAGATAATCCGTCGAGTTTGTGTTGTTAGTACAATGAGACGTTATCACCATCATCACTAATGATGTATCCACGAAACACCACCACCATCATCATAATCAGTATCAGCATCATTACGAATAATTCATCCACTATACACCACCACCATCATCATCATCACCAGTATCAGCATCATAACGAATAATTTATACACTATACAATACCACCATCATCATCACCAGTATCACTAATGATGTATCCACTATATACCACCACCACCATCATCATAATCAGTATCAGCATCATTACGAATAATTCATCCACTATATACCCACCACCATCATCATCATCACCAGTATCACTAATAATGTATCCACTATAGACCATCATCATCACCAGTATCGGCATCATCACGAATAATGTATCCACTATACACCACCACCATCATCATCATCAGTATCACTAATGATGTATCCACTATACACCACCACCATCATCACAACAACGTCATTACGAACACCTCTTCCAAGAATCATCATCATAACTACGAATACTGTTTATGATCACGATCACCACCACACACAGTTGTATCCACCGCACGCAATCGTCATCACGAACAGCAGCAGTTCCTGGGATTCATATCGCGTCGACAAAAGGCATTTCAAGACAGAACCAGTCAAGACAATTACACCTTACAGTAATACATAACGAACAATTCCAATTATCTTACTCATCATCATCCGTTACTATTTATCCACACTACATCATCACTGTCGTCATCACTTTAATCATCAAAGATCATCATCACGATTAACGTCACCACGACCAGCACGTGTCTATCATCATAATCGTCATCATGAATTTCTACGCTTATAATTATCACGATCATCATCATCATCGTCGTGATCATCACCACGGCCGACATATCTCTCTATTATCAAAATCAACACCTGCAATTATAACCTCCCGTCGTTATCATCACCGTCATCATCGTTTCCGACATCGTTATATAACAAACAGATATGCGCTTGTTTTTCACAGATCGCGAATTCTCCGCGAGCCCTCTAAACCGCAAGTCCGCAACAATAATACATCTGTTGCTGTGTTTATAAATCAAAGAAAGCAGTCGGCCACCACTATTTAATATTTATAAACGTATAGGGGTGCTTTTTGTAGACTATAAACATGTATGTAAGGGTTATTATCACCGTGCATACGCGTGTATACCTATATATGTAGACATTGGTGGAGATAGACGAAGTATATACATTGGCGGTTGTTAAGCTGATATTCATACAGCGATTAATGATCACTGACACTCGCACTCACACACGTGCACTCACACACTCACACGCACATTCACCCACTCACTCACATACACATTCACCCACTCACTCACACGCACATTCACACACTCACTCACAGACTCACACTCACAGACTCACACTCACTGACGCACACACACAGACATGCTCACACACACACTCACCCACTCACACACATTCACACACTCACTCACACACACAGACATGCTCACACACACACTCACCCACTCACACACGCACATTCACACACTCACTCACAGACACACACACGTACGCTCACCCACCCACTCACACACTCAGACTCACAGACACACTCACACACCCTCGTGGTTTAGAATTAGAAACCGTTATAAATACTGAAGCTAAAAATGTGTTTTGGTTTCGTGACGAGCCGACCTCTACCGAGCTGTATATAAATACAGACCACACACACACATATATATATACAGACCACACACACACATATATGTACCTGCATGCCTGGCAAACATTATGCTTGATCAGGAAAGAAATAAATAAACTATGCGGTGGTTATGTGTACGGTCCGTATTTAAATAACTCGCCCCGACCTTATTTAATTACCGCAATCGATGAATGTCTTTTGAAAAGCGACACATCGCATTACGACTCCTCCTGCGACTGCCACCGTCTCGGCACGTCTGCCACGCTGCTGATAATACCATGAAATTACCACGGTGACCAATGCGTAATTATGCAATGGATGCACGCGCGGAATGATGTGACGAACGAGTGGAATAGCGAATGAGTGAATGAATGAATTAATGGATAGATGTCAAAGTGCACGGCCATGATGATAGGGACGGCGCGTGAATTAATGAACGACTTGCATTACCGGGTGAATGAACGAGCGAATGAACGAGTGAACGAATGAGTAAAAGAACGAACATTAACCGAGGAGGAGAAGAGACAGCGTCATCCGGGCAGCTCAAGAACCTTCGTTCACGACCCCACCAGATGCAAAGACAAAGATCCCCCGAATAGCCTTAACAGACGGTTGGGGCAAGTGCTGTTCGCGAGCGCCTACAAACACACAATTAGATACCGACACGTATGCAAATACACACGTAGAGACATACGAATAAACACACGAGTACACACACGCACGCACATGCACAAATGCATATGCATACATACAATTATGAGCAAACAAAAAAAAGGCCCCCCCGTAAAGGCTCAGCATGCTTTTGGGTCAAGTGTTGTTGAGCGAGTACGCACGAATCAAAAGCACCTTGGCATGCACATGACGTTCATTCCGACACACACACACAACACACACCTCTGCGTATACCCCCAATGAGTACAGCCCGCATCATTGAGTACACGCCACAGAGTACACACCACTGAGTAAAGACTACACCAGTGTACACACCACAGATTACACACCACAGAGTACACCCCACAGAGTACACACCACAGAGTACACACCACATATTACACACCACACAGTACACACCACTGAGTACACACCACAGAGTACACATCACAGAGTACACATCACAGAGTACACACCACTGAGTACACACCACAGATTACGCACCACAGAGTACACACCACAGAGTACACACCACAGAGTACACACCCAGATTACACACCTCACCACAGAGTACACACCACAGAGTACACACCACAGAGTACACACCACAGATTACACACCACAGATTACACACAACAGAGTACACACCACAGATAACATACCACAGAGTACACACCACAGATTACACACCACAGAGTACACACCACAGACTACATACTACAGATTACACACCACAGATTACACACCACAGATTACACACCACAGATTACACACCACAGATTACACACCACAGATTACACACCACAGATTACACACCAGAGTACACACCAGAGTACACACCACAGATTACACACCACAGAGTACACACCACACCAGAGTACACACCACAGATTACACACTACAGAGTACACACCACAGATTACACCCCACAGAGTACACACACACCAGAGTACACACCACAGATTACACACTACAGAGTACACACCACAGATTACAAACCACACCAGAGTACACACCACCAGAGTACACACTACAGATGACACAGCACAGAGTACACACTACACCAGAGTACACACCACAGATTACAACACCAGAGTACACACCACAGATTACACACCAGAGTACACACCACAGATTACACACCACACCAGAGTACACACCAAACCACAGAGTACACACCACCCACAGAGTACACACCACTGAGTACACACCACACCACCAGATTACACACCACTGAGTACACACCACACCACAAGAGTACACACCAACCACAGATTACACACCACAGAGTACACACCAAACCACAGATTACACCACCTGAGTACACACCACACCACAGATTACACACCACTGAGTACACACCACACCACAGAGTACACACCACACCACAGAGTACACACCACAGAGTACACACCACACCACAGAGTACACACCACAGATTACACACCACACAGTACACACCACTGGAGTACACACCACACCACAGAGTACACACCACAGAGTACACACCACAGATTACACACCACAGACTACACGCCACTGAGGTAACACCACAAGAGTACACACCACACCACAGAGTACACACCACACCACAGATTACACACCACTGAGTGCAGACCACACCACAGATTACACACCACAGAGTACACGCCACTGAGTACACACCACAGAGTACACACCACACCACAGAGCACACACCACAGAGTACACACCACAGAGCACACACCACAGATTACACACCACACCAGAGCACACACCACAGAGTACACGCCACTGATACACACCACAGATTACACACCACAGATTACACACCACAGAGTACACACCACTGAGTA